CAACTATTGGGTGAAGATGGTTTTACTTATCTCCTTTACTGTTTATAATGTCATTAGTTAAATCTGTCAGTTCAGTGAGGTCTATTTTAACATCTAAAGTTAGTTAACAAGCAAAAAGTTACAGAGGCCCAAAGAGCTGTCTATGCATTGCAGGTTTCCTTGAACAAATAGACTCCCTGTCTTTTTCCAAGGAAGGAAGAGCTGAATGTGGTGAGTGAAAAGTTGAGGATGGATCTCTCTCTCCCCGCTACAGAAATAAATTCTGAAGAATGCAGCTGTTTGCATAACTGTGAACACTTCCTGCTGGTTCCCGCAGGCATTTCTGTGTTTCTCACACAAACCACATGGGCAAGCAATGGAAACAGAGGAAAGCTGCAGCATTTCTAGCAGGAGGGAAGGAGCTGGTTTTGGTTTGAAATCCTTCCCCTTGTATCAAAGAGCAGTATCATTCATATGCAGAGTGCAGACTTGACCAGTCAAATTCTTAAGGAAGTGCCTTTCTTCCTACTATTTCTTAATAAAAATGCCATCCAGGAAGGAAAAGATTTGTCCACCTTGGCCTGCTTAAGACGGTATGGTTGTTTTTGCACTGTAGTCAGACATCAGGTTTTCTAATACAGAATGACCATGGGGGAAAACGCTGTAACGCAGACTCCTTACAGAAGCAGTTTTTCAAGCAGATTGGAGCATTGTTTGCTCTCAGCTGCAGAACCAAAACAATATTTTGTAAGAGGGCAAGGTGATAACCCTGAGTGCTCCTTGGCTGTTTACGCAGAGCAGCAGCCACCATACAAAGAAAACGCGGTTTAAGTAAGACCAAAGCTCGATCCCAGAAACACGAGAGGCATTCAAAGCACGGGCTGCTTTTAACAGCTGCCTTCTGCTGCAAGGAAGGGGGCTGCCCCCCCCTCCGCCCCCCACGCCCTTCGGCGCTTTGCTACCCCGCCGGGAGGTGACCGAGATGAGAACGAGCCGGGGAAGAGAGCGCCGGGGGGGCGGGGGGCAAGGAACAGGACGGGAGGGAGGGAGAGGAGAGAGGAGGAGAAAGAGGAGAAGGAGGGCGGGCAGCTCCTGCCCGGGCGGGATTGGACAGAAATTGCTGCAGCGCCGGGCTGGGGCCGCGCTCCAGGGGCAGGGGCCCCGCACCGCGACCCCCCCGCCCGGCTGTGCTACAGCGATCCTAGGGATCCTAGGGACCTGCGACGATGCCGAGCGTACAGAGCGACGCACGATGCGTTAGCTGCGTTTTATTACACCGATCCGCCTTTTGTGTTACTGTTGGATACACTCGGAGCGTTTATTTTTTACTACAAAGGCAGATTTTCTGTTGTGCTTGTGCAGCTACAAAGTAATTGGCTTTCAGACCCCAATCCTCCCATTCAGATTTCCTGAATTCAGAGGCACTGACTGAAATTACTACGTGAATGAAGTCACATGATTTCCTTTCGTGTTTACCAATCAGTCCTGTACCATATATCTCAGAGAAATTAGTAATATCAATAACTTGTTTTCATCCCCTTTGCTGTCTAAGCAGGACGGTTTTCAAGGGCTCACAAACAGTAATGTAGTGATGATATTATTCAGAAAGTGTCTGCATTACAGCAGAACTGAGAGATATTTCTACCTGATTATATCTTGATTTGCTATGTGCAGTTGCAGAAAGGTACTAAAAGAGTTAAATATTTGAGTGAAGAGGTTTGAGAGGAATCAATGAAAAAATCTGCGAGTATTTATGTTTTGTATAAACTGTCACATGGTCACAGCATTAAATAAGATTTACACAATTTCACCGACTTACCCTCAACAACATACAATTCATTCAATTATTTTTTGTTCGAATTGGGGGAATTCTCTAACTTGCCTACACACTTAGAAAATAGCATAGGCCGAAGCAACGTCTCCTCATGAAAGGCAGGAAAACATAAATAAATAAAAATCACACCTTCCTCTAATGGAAAACTGTTTAGAAGTAAGGGAGCTTGGATTATATCTTTTCACTGTGGTTAGGTTAACCAAAATGTGAATTTTCTTTTATTCCTTTATTGTTTTCCTTATTTGTCTACATACTAGTAAATGTTTGTGCAACCAAGTATGGTTTCTTTTTTGATATCATTTTGCTTACTATCTTTACTATCTAAAAAAATATCTATGAAGTAACTACAGGGACCTATAAAGCAACTATAGGTTGAATAACACCCTTTGAGGCCAGGCTATCTGAGAGATGGCATCACCTATGCTATGCTATACATTCTTATGCTCTAAATCATAAAGATATGCTTTGTATGGACTTAAAAGTCAAAAGATTAGGTGTGTCTGTGGCTGTTGCTTTTTTTCCCCATGACTACCAGTACCTGTGATGAATCATTCTTAAATAACAGGTTTCCTCTTTTATGTAGAAATACTTCCATACTTTAGGCTGGCTGAATAGCTGGTAAAGACATTTTGGGAGGGATCCAAATAAAATAGAAATTCTGCATATGAACTGACATTTTTCTAAATAGTACTTTTTTTTTTTTTTTTTTTTTTTTGTCATTCCATACATAAATAGCTGTTCTCATCCACTTCTCTTTTCTAATTTAAAATATCCATGACTTTTATGGAACTATTGTACAAGGGTAAAAATTGTATTAATCTAAACCAAGCATGTTAACACGAGGCAGAAGAACATATTGCCTTTCCACTTTAAATACAGATTGCCAAGAAAAACAAAAAAGAGAAAGTATAGCTGGCAGTTGTACGAAAAAATACCAGTTATGTTTTAGCTGTAGAATAGGGGCATTTGGAATATATAGGTCAGAGTATGCCTTAAATAGCTAATTAATAATTGTAAAATGCCATGATAGTGCTTTGGTGGCACATAAAATAGAACATTAGTCATAAAGTGCTATGAAAGAAAGCCATGATATTTATTTACTTCACTGCAAGGTAGAAGCACGGGTGGTAAGGCAAAGAACAAAATATTAGTTAGTGAATTATGACAACTAAGCGGAAATACTTTTTTAGCAAATAGAACATAAAAAATCTATTTCAGACTACATTTCAACCAAGACAAATGTAATTTGAAAACAATGTCAGAATACATGTGTTTTCAAAGGATGTTTCAAATATCTTTATGGAAAGATATCCTTCCTTCTTAAGCTTCCAAGACAAGCAAAACAGAGGCTTTCTTGTCACGCACTTCAGCTTGAGCGAGCGTCGATTCTGAAAAGAGAGAAATGCTCCCTCCTCACACCGTGATTCCAAAGTAAAAATGAAAGGTAGGAGGCCTCGGTTTCAAACTTTGTTTTTCCCATAAGGCCCAATCAGCACCTTCTACAAATTAATGCTCTCCTTCAAGTTAATCTTATCACTTCCCACCCCCCATACTAAGAATCTACCAGGAGGTTATTCTGTTTAACACACTATATAAGAGAAACATATTATATTTAAAAAATCTGAAAGTTTTAAACCTAGTTCCAACCTCGAATTTACGCATAACTACAGTCCTGCAATTATTACGTTTTCAAAGTTCAACTTTTCAGGAGAACCACTTTAAAAGTAGGAGAAAAAAATCACAAATCAAAGCTGGGCATTGATTAAGTAATAACCGGTTAAAAACAACCCCGCAATTGTCATCATGTTTCCAAGCAACACTTTTGAGCATCACAGATTAACACATCGCCACAAGTGACCCGCTCCTCCTCCTCCTGAGGGAGGACGCTGAAAAGAATAGCACGCTGTTTTCCTCCTTGTCTTTCTCAAGAGCCGCTTTTAGAGAACACAAAAAAACCTCCCCCAGGCCTCACTCTGCCCAGTGGAGCCTCACTCAGAGCCTCCTACAGCTTCCGGACCTTGCATTCCAAGGCTGTCCTTCGGACAGCTTTATTTTCTTGCGCATAAAACATTACTGAATAAAAAAAACTATATATATAAATTGCTTTGCCTGTGTCTGCCTAACAAAGCGGAACATGCAGGGTCCATTACAGTGGAAGAAAAAAAAAATAAAAAAACATATATATATATAAGTATATATATATGTATGTTCCGGAAAAACACAGAGTGGAGAGCCACAGCAAGGCAAAATCCAAATCCCCGAGGCGCGAACAGTGGGAGGCTCCTCCTTGCGGATACCAGCTTCTGGCTGATTTCACTTGTTTATCTTCCTCCTCCAGTTTTAATCCTGTCTCTGAGCGCGCCCAAGACCACGCCCACTGCCGTCAGGAAAGCAGTCAAGAGCCTTAAGTGAGTGCAGCTGCCAAGCCCAAACAGAAAGCAGTAGCAGCAAAGTATCTGGCCAAGGCAGCAAGGCCCAAAGCAGCCAAGGCAAGAAATGGCCCAAGAAGATGTAAGGATATCAGAAGAGAAAACTTGCAGATAAAACCAAGAGCACCTTTAACAGCCAGCAATGCTGTTGGAGGGAACAGAACAGAAAAGAAAAGAAAATAAGCTGATATTTCAGTTTAAGCCCAGACATGTACATAACAATCCCCTACAGGAACTTATGCGGTGCAGGAAAGGACACTTCAGTCTATTTTACATGAACTCGAGATCCTCCATTACCTCCACTGCATTTCCAATATCATGTACTTGAACAGCCCCCCTGACCTTTAGAAGCTAAACCTGTGTTAGCTGTGAGATAGCATCCTGGTGAGGAACTTACAGATCTGTAAGTGTTGCCTGAGAGCTCTAGTAGCAATACATGGCAAGTTTAAAATTAAGAAACAAGAAAACAAACAAACAAACAAACAAACAAAAAAAAAAACAAAACAAAAAACAAAAGCAGGAAAGAAGAGGAGAAGGAAAAAAAAAAAAAGCCCATGGGAAGGACCCAGCGCAACCCGGGAGGCAGAGCGCCCCTTCCCGCCACGGGTTCGAAACTGGCGCGCTTCTCCCTGATTGGCCAGACCCGGCCACGCCCCCTCCCGCCGCCGGGGGTCCGCGGGGCTTTTCCGCTCGGAAACCGTGCGGTGCCCGCTGGGGCTGGGCTGGGCTTTGTCCCACGGCGTGCCCAGGGACGGAGCTTGGTGGTGGTCTTTTCGTCCCCCCCAACTTTATTGATTTATAGTAACTTGTTAGAGAAAAAAATTGAAGGGACTTGCAGAACAGAGCTGGTTCACTAAATATGGAGTTGCTGTTTAGGAGAACTCCCCCTGTATGCAAGTTTCCTGTTACATAAAATCTGTTTCCAAAGAAACAAGTGAACCCAGTACTTATACTTAGGTGTTCTGCTCTTTTTAGGAAGATGTGGGTGGCTCTGAAAAGAGCCTTTGGGTTGTTTGTTGCTACGGTTTTACTTGGCCTTGGCCTTGTGGCTGTCGGTCTTCTTGGGCAGCAGCACGGCCTGGATGTTGGGCAGCACCCCGCCCTGCGCGATGGTGACCTTGCCCAGCAGCTTGTTGAGCTCCTCGTCGTTGCGGATGGCCAGCTGCAGGTGGCGGGGGATGATGCGCGTCTTCTTGTTGTCGCGGGCCGCGTTGCCCGCCAGCTCCAGGATCTCGGCCGTCAGGTACTCCAGCACGGCCGCCAGGTACACCGGGGCGCCGGCGCCCACCCGCTCCGCGTAGTTGCCCTTGCGCAGCAGCCGGTGCACGCGGCCCACGGGGAACTGCAGCCCGGCCCGCGACGAGCGCGACTTGGCCTTGGCCCGCGCCTTCCCGCCCTGCTTCCCGCGGCCGGACATGTCTTCGGCTGAAGTTCGGAAATCGGCAAGGCCCGCAGAAGAGAGCAGGGAAGCAGCGAAATCCGGATGAGTAAAGCAAAAGCTTCCACCCGGCCTTTTTATCCCTTCCTTCTGGGCTTCCGCGGCACTTGTGATTGGCGGAGGCTGCGATTGCAGAGTTGGCCAATGGGAGCAGCGATGCGGCACAGGCCAATTGCGCGCCGGGAAAGGCTTTGACATCACCGACCCGGAGCGTCCAATGGAAGAGAACAGCCCTGAGCCGCCTCATTTGCATACCGCCCCTATAAATAGAGGCGCCGCCGCTATTGTATTTACGTCGTTCCTGCGGTAGACAGGTAGTGACAGACCCCTGAAATGCCGGAACCAGCCAAGTCCGCTCCCGCGCCCAAGAAGGGCTCCAAGAAAGCCGTCACCAAGACCCAGAAGAAGGGTGACAAGAAGCGTAGAAAGACCAGGAAGGAGAGCTACTCGATCTACGTGTACAAGGTGCTGAAGCAGGTGCACCCCGACACGGGCATCTCGTCCAAGGCCATGGGCATCATGAACTCCTTCGTCAACGACATCTTCGAGCGCATCGCTGGCGAGGCGTCGCGCCTGGCGCACTACAACAAGCGCTCGACCATCACGTCGCGGGAGATCCAGACGGCCGTGCGGCTGCTGCTGCCCGGCGAGCTGGCCAAGCACGCCGTGTCCGAGGGCACCAAGGCGGTCACCAAGTACACCAGCTCCAAGTAGAGCGCCGCGGATCCTGTTTTTAACCCAAAGGCTCTTTTCAGAGCCACCCACGTTTTCAGTAAAAGAGTGGTTCACACTTGTTCGTTTCGGTGAGTGGCACTGGTATATAGTATTAACTTTGTCTTCCAGATTAGGATGTTCCGATTAATAGGGGAAAAAATAATTCTTTGCTTGTGAGGAGAAAATGGGATTTCTAGTGGTGGATTTTTATATGACGTAACTGGGCTCTTTCAAGGACAGATGTATAAAGATAAGACTGAAAATCCAGTTCTAAGCGATTCAATATTTATCTTCTCATTAGTGCATTTATTTCAACTTTGGATTTTGGTAGTCATAGAGATACACACGGTATTCTCTGTCCCTCCGTTATGAAATAAACCATTTCGAATAAAGTGCCGCCGTCCCCTTTAAGCATCAGCTGCTCTTCCCAGGCGACTTGGCCGAACGCCACCGAGCGGGTTGTTTACTTAGGGTACTCCATGGGGATTATGCCGCATATGCGCGACCTTCGGCAAGGCAACACTGTTTCATGGGGGTTACCGAGCCACACAGAGCTGAAGATACAAAGTGCAGAGAGAAAAGTATCATTTTAACGAGCCTCGGGGATACCCCAAGTGTGTGGCGCAGATCCCTTTCCCGTTACTGTAATAAAATGAAAGAACCGCTGGGGAAAAAAAGGGAATCATCATCGCCTGAAATTAACAGGGAACGATAGAAGTAAACAGCAGGTCACGCCCGAGGAAAGTAACCAGGCGAGCGAGCGCGCTGTATCGAAGTGGGGGTCGCGCAGGATGCGTCGGGGGGGCGTAACGCGGGGGCTGGGGGCTGTACGGGACGGGGGCTGTACGGGACGGGGGCGGCGATGACCGCGCCTGGGTCAAACCGGCCGCGGGGTGAGGGGCGGCCGGGGCCGGGGCCGGGGGGGGCGAGAGCCGGGGCCGCGCAGGGGGGGGGCTGCGGGCGGGGAGCGGCCGTTACCTCCCCCCGCAGCGCGGGATTTTCAAACGCCCGCCGCAGACCAATGGAATCGGCGCCATCGTGGCAGCCAATCACAGCGCGGACGGGTCTATAAATAGCGGGTCCTGCAGCCGCACTCTCCCAAGCCCCTCGTCCTTCAGTGCCGGGAGGCTGCTCCGGGGGAGATGGCGCGCACGAAGCAGACGGCGCGTAAGTCGACGGGCGGGAAGGCGCCCCGCAAGCAGCTGGCCACCAAGGCGGCCCGCAAGAGCGCGCCGGCCACGGGCGGCGTGAAGAAGCCGCACCGCTACCGGCCCGGCACGGTGGCGCTGCGCGAGATCCGCCGCTACCAGAAGTCGACGGAGCTGCTGATCCGCAAGCTGCCCTTCCAGCGGCTGGTGCGCGAGATCGCGCAGGACTTCAAGACCGACCTGCGCTTCCAGAGCTCGGCCGTGATGGCGCTGCAGGAGGCGAGCGAGGCCTACCTGGTGGGGCTCTTCGAGGACACCAACCTGTGCGCCATCCACGCCAAGCGCGTCACCATCATGCCCAAGGACATCCAGCTCGCCCGCCGCATCCGCGGGGAGCGTGCTTAAGTTTCCAACAAAAGGATCTTTTGACTATCGAAAACCCAAAGGCTCTTTTAAGAGCCACCACACGGCCATTAAAAAGAGCTGTAAACTCTTCATCTTGTATAATAGAAGATGCGCTTTCCTGCATCTTTTGTAATTTTTCAGGGGCTAAAACACATTTCTTACGAGGTAAGTGCCAAACAATGTAAGCCACGGTTTTTTTTTTTTTTCGGGTTGAGGACATTAAACCGGTTTGGATTAATTCCTGCTGTGATTGTTACTTGACAAATCTCCATTAATGGGGAACGCTTCTTTTCATAGGTTTTAGCAGTCAACTTGAAGTATTAATGAAAAAGTTCTTTTGGCGGGCTTTGTCAGGCTGAAAGTGACACTAGTTGTTTTACTGTCTGCTCTTAAAAACAATCACGAATGCACTAATGCAACTACTTACAGTTCTGTTTTCTTTGATTAGTAACAATGAATTGTGAGGTTAGTATATTTTAAACACCCCTTCTTACACAGCAAATACTATGTTCTTCTTGTAGTACCACTAACAGTTAATCCGTAATAGCAAGTGTTTCCTTTTCCAAATGCTTTTTCTCTTTAAGTCTTATTTCTGAAGTGACAACATTTTCTTTCCCGCCCTTTAATGGCGGATGTTCTGTCAGTAATTTTCTCAGTTCTTTATCACTCTGCTCTGAACGTTTCTATCATGAGTGACATTGATCTCTGGCCCTTCTCAGCACATAATTTTTCTGAGATAAGTGTAATGTTTCCCTGCAGAGCTGGGTGTAGGGCAGTGGGAACCTAGGGTTGGGCAACTTTGAAAAACATTGCCCCCCTGTTTTGGGTAACTTTTCCAAATTTAAGCTAAAACGTTTAGAAAAATGTCTGCTCTGAGATGCACTTGTGGCATCATTCGTGATTCTGGCTCTGAATGCTTAGGGATGTGTATCTGGATCAATTTTCTCCCGGGAATGTTTAGGTTCCCCCAAAATATTTGCTGCACCCAGTGCACATAGTGTTTTTCCTATGGAGTATTACTGATTCATAACTTGATATTGTGTCCAGAATATCATTAAATGCAGACTCTCACCCACCTGTTGTATTCAGTGGCTCTTGTAGACCTTCCAGGAAAACGATATTTCTTCCTGACTGTTGCGCTCACCTGCACAAACCCTTGTCCTCCTACTCAATAGATTTGGATTTAGCACCTAAAAAGATATTTCCAGATCTTTTTCTGGATTTCCATGGTGGTTTATTTCTTTTTCAATGCAGTAGGCCTTTTATGTAATTCAGGGAGCTTTCTGCTCCATTCGAGTAGGAAATCTAAGTCTCAGTTTTGCAGTGCTATGCTTGAGCGGATGTATCTGTAAGAGGCAGTTGGATTGAGTTCAATTCAGCTTTCTCTTAAGCGGATAAACAAGAAAACAGGGAGGATTGCTTAGAGGAAATAAATATTTTTTGAAGCCTTGTACTGTAAGATTCCTAGGCTCTTTTAATTTATTTATTGCTAGCTGCTTATATGTTTATTCTCAGGAAATATTCCTTTCTCTGTATCACGGACTTGGACTCTGCAGCAAAATCTGACCAATCAAATTCCTTGATGCACCATTTTGTTTCCCTTGCTTTTTTCTTGCTTTCAGCCATTTTCTATACTCACTCTTTGCGCACTAAAGCAGTGGGTGGGGGGGGGAAATGGCTCTCAGAAGACTGCTTTGGGAAGTAAGATAAACAGTGATTTTTATTGATTTCCCTCCCCTGTCCTTACTTTATGGTATAAGACTTGTCTATTTTGGAACATATTTTTTTTTTGCAGTAGATATTGCTGATGTGAGTTTAGAAATTTGTTTTAGTGAAATGCAATTCATTTCCTGTTACTATCTATTATACCAAGAGAAGGGATCTATTTACCTGTCTGTCAAAATATATTTAGCATAAACTCAGTGATAAGATTAAACTGTAAACTAATGCCCATTTTTACTATGTAATGGGTATTGACCATCTTATGTAACCAGTATTGAAAATAGTTACATTTTGGTAGCAATTTGGGTGAAAATGCTGAATATTTTTACATGCTCATGAAATAAACAATTTTGAGAAGAAAAGGCGATGGGCTTTATTGATTTTAAATTTTGTCAGTTTCCTTCTATTATTTTAAAGACCATGGACTTTTAATAAATATAGTATTACTTTCCTATTGTGAGAGCTACCTGTATAAACGATAAACACTAACACATGATCTGTAGAGAAGGAAGAAAAAGTGCAAGTGTTTGCAGGAAAGGTGAGCTCATTTGAACTGTGAATTGTAACGCTTGATCCTGAAGAAGTTTTGAGATAAACTATAGAAAGACAATCTGTCATAGCTTGTTCCAGAGGATGAGACTAGCAATGGATTTTGAATTCAGTTGGTTGCAGATGGTTGTAGTGGAGATATGGCAAGCCACAGTAGACTGACTAGCTTATGAAATAGGCTTTGCTCTTCCCTCCTTACATAATTTCTGCCTGGAATTCTATGAGTTTGCATATGATATTAAATCCTTTAACTATGAGAGTAACCACAAAATAACAAATCATATCTGGATAGAAAAGAGGTTTCTTTCATAATATATTAATAAGAACTAGTAATGGGAATACTTATGTATTTTTGACCAGAGATATATTAGTTTAGGGATTGATAGATTTCTATCAAAACTCAAAACCTGAATATCAGCCTGATACATAATAAATCTGGTAAGAAGTTTGCCTTCAAGCACAGCAGCAACACAAAACAACATAGATTTTGCTATAATTTTTTTTTTTTTACTTTAGCATTTGCATAGTACCAAGTCACACACAGGTAAATTAATGCTGAAATTTCCTAAATTGAAGGGAACTTTTCTGTGAGTTTTTTAGGAGAGGGCTGGAGATAACAAATGCTGCCAGGTAGAAGCTGGCTGTGTGCAGAGGACTGCCTTGCAAAACTGCTGCTGCTTTGCACTCCGTTGGTTAGCATGTAAAGTGCTTTTGCATGTGGCTTTAGTTGCTCAGTGAGATATGAGTGAGACTGTTTCTGGTTGCTCTTCCACCCACTGAGAGTGATCCACAACTTTTTATTGGCACAGTTTGGATTAAATCATTGCTTGGATGAATCAGTCCAATGGTTAAGATAAACCATAACCACTGAGATCCTGGTGAAATTAATCCTCATTTATCAGAAATGTATAGAAGAAGGACTAATCAAAATACCTTTCTCAAACCAAAATATATGAATCAGCTCTACCTCAGACATTTATTAGTTCAGAAAAAGATCTAAGCGGAAGCTTTCTCCATATGAAAAAATGAGATAAAGCTTTCATTTGCATTGACCATTGTAATGTAAAATCTATGTGGAGGTGGTATGGTTGTGTTCCTGTAAGCCAGTAGGGGAAGATAAAGCCTATCATTCTCTTCATTTGCAAATCCCCCTTAAGGGCTTCCTCACATAAATGGGTCATTTATTTTTTTTGTTTTCAGTCTTCAGTAACTATGAAGAGTGAAGCCTGAACATGAGCTCTGCCAGCCTCAGCTT